GCTAAACACTTATACAGGTCAGATGTGTGCCAGCCCTGAACTAAAAGTCATGTAATCACATTAGGACAACAAATAGCTTGAGCTAATAAACCCAGCCTTTCAAAGAGCTTATTGGTTTGGGCTCGGTGCCATGTCGAGGTTAACAAGGTAAAAACCTGTTTAACAAAGGAGATATATATCTGACCATCCACAGTCAGGTCAATCATTTAAGATTTAAACATTCCCTTCAGAGGTATTTACCCAGTCAGTGCATGCTGCTTATGGTTGCTTCTGTACCTTCTGATGATGCTTTAAATCATATCTTCTGAATGAAATTAGGGTAGAAGCTTTCCTACAGCCTTATTGCAGATGGTAATAGCATGGGGGGTCAGCAATATTCTCAACTCACAAGAGAGAAAAAAGCATTATCTGTTACGTGCAGTCAAAAAAAAAAAAAAAAAAAAAACAAACAAAAGCAACCCACAGCAACAACAAACCAATAGTTCACATAGCTCAAAACACAAATGGCCCTTCTTTTGGAGTTTAAACCAGAGCAGTCCCTCTATCTTCCCATAAACTGTGTGTCTGCATACGTGATATCAGTACTGCATTTAATACAGTGCCTTATTCAAACCAATATATACTTCAGGTTTTATGGAGTATTTTGGCTCAAATACTATTGCTAGGATGCTGTTTACAGCAATATCCATTGTGTTCTGCATAGCCCGGCCTATCAATCAGCCTTGTAATAAAGCAGAGAGGAAAATTTGGGGAAAAGCAGCAGAGCTGCTGAATCCAAGCTAGTCAAGCAAAACCAGCATGGAGACAAATGCAAATACAACTGGGTCAAAGCAGCTGTTAGGCTGTTGGTTGTACAAGAACACATATGCGTTGCATTAGAGCTTGCCTCAGACAAAAAACTCAGGCTTTTAAATGTTAAGCCTTTCTTCTCTCTTTTGACTGGGTTTCAAAATGACTTGTTACACACAGATTCATGATGTGCATGTGTTTACTCACATATCTCCAAGCTGAATGGAAAGGCAGATAAGCATTCCAAATCTATCATTAGATCAACATGTTGGTACCTACAAAGAGCCACAGGACTTCAATTTTCTCGCTAAGATTTAAGGGATAAACTGAAGAGAACAAACAAACAAAGAAGCCGCTCTCATCCACAAAATACACATACAAAACAACAAAGGCAAAAAAAAAGATGGCCCAAAAGGCTGCTGATTCTCAGGTGTGCCTAAGAGCGGTAAATTAGGAACAATCATAAGAACAGTGCAATCTGCCATTCTTTATGGATTGTGCATGGTTCAAAGGACACGGCGCTGGTTTGGCTGTGAGCAGCCATCGTTATCCCCAGGCCAGCTTCTCTCAGCCTCTGCCTAACTCACACACATTCAGGTTCTGCTTCGAGGATTCCTTCCTCTACCTCAAGGTGAGGAAGTGCCTTACAATACCAGAGTGTACCACCCTGGAGCCCTAATCTTACAATTAGTGCCTCTAGCTGCTGCTGTAAATTAAATAGTGACAATTGTATTGATGAATTATGATATTTTTTTTTTCATTCTGCTTTAGTCTCGATCATAAAGAATTAACATAAAAAAAATCAAAGTTGGCTAAGATGCACGTACCCAATGGGCCCCATACGATTCCCATTAAAGTAAGACTTAAGTGGAAATTGAATCAGGCTCTGGAACCAACTCAATGGAAGCGCCTGCACTCTTCAGTACTGGGACCACAGCTGCAGCAAGCACCATCACCACCCACTGTACGTCCATCAGACTGAATGCAAGGTCACTGACAGAACTAGAAACACATCATGTGGGAAGGGGGAAAGGAATTCAGTGCCAAAAAAAAAAAAAAAAAAAAGAAAAAAAAAAGAAAAAAAAAAGAAACCAAGGAGAGATGCTCTTAGCCCGCTGAGGATAGTAATAAAATACTGCATCTCAAGTTGGTTGCTGTTTGAAGGAAGCTAGGAAACAAGCAAGAATTCATTATGAAGCTGCTCAAGACTAAACCATGAATCATTGGGTTCTAAAAAAATCCTATGCTGTCTAGAGAACAGCATGGATGAAAATGAATGGAATCTCTTTAAATTACTCTCTGTATAAACTCCTTCACATTCATTCTTTCTGCCACTGATTAGCCTCCTTCTATGATACGGGTTTTTAAATTATTCCACACCACACTCCCAGCTTCTGCAATCAAAACAAAGAAGCAACTCTTGATTCTTCATTTTTAGCCCCCATTTACAGGAAAAAAGCATCTTCTGCAGAGCAAAACTTGAACACCTACTGTTCTTACATGTTTCCTGGATATCCCCAGAAGTGAGTGCGTGCTGATAGCTCAGTAAACTAATGACCTTAAAATCCCCCCACTGCTCCGCAAATAAGGGGACTTTTGTTGTGCTGTACTGAATATGCTATTGCTGCCTGACGGAGTATTAAATCACCTCTGGAAAGCCCCCAGGATGTTAAAGCACAGGAAGCTAGGACCCCCCCACCCCCACCCCCCCCAGTTTCAGCAAGCCTGGAAGTAAAAACAAAAACCACAAATCCCAAATATTAAACTGGGACAAACTCACTGCAAACTCATGTGGGGATGAACAGAAGGAAACGTGGTTGGCAGAACACGCCCCCTGGTTATACCATCCCTGCTCTAGCCTGATTCCTGAGAACATGAGGTTTTTGTGACCACATAGTGTGGTTGTGTATCTGCCCATTGCACCAACTCCTTTTCCAGGAATTTCTGAATCAACCGATAATAATTTCACATGACAGAGACTCATAGAGATGAGGTAGTATTGAGAGCTCAACTGTTACCAGCTACAGAGAAAACCATCTCAACGCAAAAAGCTTGCTATGCTCCAAGAACTGGAAAACACGACTACACTAGCCAGCAAATTTGAGGTAATTCCCTGTTAGGAGAGTACACTATCAGACTACATAATTCCAATCACAAGATACAAGTCCACCAGAAAGCTGGGCCATTCACCTCACAGCTTGTAAACGATACACAAAAATGTGCAGGCAAGTCCTGAACAATTCACACTGAAGGATCACCTCTTGGAAGTGCCTCAGCTGGAAGTCCACCTACCTATGAGAGCAAGCCCTACCCAGACTCTCTCCTTAACACACCAAGTACAGATCCTCTTGTCCCAGATCCTGCACCAAGCAAGAGATCTCTTTGATATCCCAGCCCTGATGTTACTTGCCTGGATTTTGTTGGAAAAGGCATTCACTGAGAGCCTCCCGACCCCCTGCGCCCAGTAGAATGTGCTGTTCTCCTGTGCCCACCACAGTCCCCAGGGCTGTTAACCAAGATTGCTTGGAGATGCATCAGAAAGGGAAATTCTCAGTTAAAAAAAAAAAACAAAAAAAAAAAAAAAAAAACAAAAAAACAAAAACAGCAAATAAACTAAGATCTCAGACTTCTCATAGAACAACTTTCCACTCATGACTGTTAAGAGTGGATTTTAAAAGACTTATTGTAGTGACATCCAAAATTTATTACAGCTTTTACAACAAGACTGTGTGTAGTAAAGAATGATGTAGTGACAATATTTACTTGGCTGGATTTAGCTTCTTAGGGCACATAAATATACTTTTGTACTTTGTGAACAGCAGTGGCTGCCTACTAAATCTTGCATAATACAAGGCAGCTTTGTAGACCTTCAAAAACACACACCAACTTGACTCTGTCTACTTCACAAATTTGCTTCCTTAACTATCTGCCTAGTCAGTCCCCACAGTCCTCTTCTGCTCGTCTTCTGTCAACCTCAGCTCTTCAAATGAAATTGTTTGGAAATCCTGCTTTTAAAATCCTATGCTTTCTAAGTACGGATTTCATAGTGGCCAAGTTTGTTCCCCCACTCTGCCTCACCACCACTTACAAAACAAACTGGAAGCCTTACGCATTCTCCTTGGCACATACCTGAGAAAAGCCACACAAAAGTCATCATTTGAAAATAGATTTATTAACCATGTGCCTGATGGCCCCATCTCAAGAATAAATTGAAGTGTAGATTTCTTTTAGTCTTTGAATCTCTATTAACTGATCCAGTTAGAAAGACAATATAGAAGGACGCAACAGCAAGACAGGAATAGTTTTTGAATATGAGAGGTAATACTTTCAACTGTGAAACTTGAAGTTCAGTATGTGACAATCAGATCTCCTGCAACTACCACTTTACAGGTGAGAATACTACTTGCACACTGCGCACTCTAGTGTACTAGTAAGCAAAACCACAGGACTGGCTGCCCCAACTAGCCCTCGTGCTTCCCAGCCTCTAGGAAGCAGCAGTTCCCAGAGGCACACTGCCTACCCTGAGGTAGGGCTCTACCCAAAGCCACCATGTATACTCCCAAGAAGCACTAGTCACACGTGCCAGGATCTGTGGTGAACCAGCAAATCCATAAATCACTTCATCTAAGAAATTAAAAAAAGAAAACCCACAAATTCACCCTCCAGTTTATATGCAAGTTTGCTGCTGTTTTACAGTAGGTTACAAATGCATCAAAGGGTTTGGACTATTTCCATTTCTGTGTTTGCTTTTGCTGCTGTTGTTCTTACAAAAAACACACCATTCTTCTCCCATGACATTGCTTCGTAACTTCAAAAGAATGCTCTCCACTGCCACAAAATATTTGCTTTGAATCCTCCAGCAAGGAGAAGCCAAGGGTTTGGCTCACGTGTTAAAAACAGGAAGAAATAGCTCTCTAAGAACAGAACAAACAAGTGCAACAGTAACAGTAGATGGAGATAGAGCTCCTAGCATAACCTATGAATAATTCCAAGTCCTATTAGAAGGAACACAGCTTTCTGAATTTCCCTAGAAAACAGCATGTCATTACTGGGCTGCAGCTTGACTCAAATGCAAAATGTCACTTTTTCAGAAAAAAAGCCAAACAACAGACAATATGTAGTGTAACAACTAAACTGCAAAGCACATCCACTTAGAAGCTGAAATTGCAAAAGACAACGAGCGTAGAGTAATATCAGAAGAGGGCTCTTACCTCCATCCCCAGATCCTGAGCCAGCATCTGAGAAGAGAACAGAATGAAATTTATATTCATGTGCTGCTGTATGTCCTGTAAGCATGTAAGGCAAGACTGTTCAGTTAAATGCATTACATCGTATCTTATGTTTGATGTCATCCCTGGGTAAATTACAGAGATCTAATCTGAACACAGTTCACTCAAGCTGCCTTACTCATGTCTGAACTCCCTTACTTTATAGTCTCTATATAAGACTAAAATAACTTAAGCCCTGGAGTGCTGTGATGTTCTCAGAAGCCTCTGCCTCATTTTGTTGTACTGCGACTGATAAAGCAGCTCCAGGAGCTTTGTTCCCAACAGTTGTGCAGAGTTGCTTCACATGGCCACTAGGAAACAGTCAGCATCAAACAGGGCTTTTAAACACATCTGTCTGAGCCCAGACTGACTGGAAACGCGTGCCATCGTCTGTACAGAACACCTCAGTAGATCACAACCAGTTAGAATCAACCACTGAAACTCTCATCCAAAGCTCTTCAGATAAATAATTAAAACGCTATTTCTGTCAAGGCTGTTGCTGAGTTTCAAAGCCAAGTGCTTTATTTTACTCATGCTCACTGTTTTTTTAGGATGGAACAACCAGATGCACAAACTCAAGTGCAAACCCAAGTGCGATGTCTCAATCTCCAAGAACTTCATTATGATGCTTTCTAACCAAACCCACACTTAGAAGGGCTACAGAATTCTCCCAGAGAGAAAGGATGCCCTTCTCAGCATTTATCCATTCATCAACATCAAGAGGAACAGAAAGAGTTTGAGATGGCTGCTTGGGGATCCAGTCACCCCATGAACTGTTATGTCAAGTTTACTGACAGTAGGGTCTGGTGGATCTGAACTGGCTTGCATGTGCTAGCTCCATTTCAATAAGTCTGTCATAAAAGTGGCTCAGTCTTGTAGTGCAAACTGGTCATCCTAAGTGGGAGAAAAGCCAAAGGGGTTTGGAAAAGTAAACAGATAATTATAGTGTTTCCCTGTATTCTCTGTCTCTTTGCAGGGAGGGATCTCATGCTTTCCTCCTGCCCCTACATTGTGAAGCCTGCACCTCCACCAAGCCCCCAGTGGCACAGGTCTCTGTGGAGGCTGGCAGCCCTGTGTATCACTCTGCACCATCCCACTGCCAGTAGCGAGCTAGAGTAGGAAAAGATGAAGCAATGCATTCAAACTTGATCAAATCCCTTTAACCAAAAAGTAAGGCCTTGTTCTTTTTTTTGTTTGTTTGTTTTCAAACAAATAAGAAAAGAAAGAGTTGCTGTGCTGAGAGAATTTACAGGGCAAAAGGAATCCTGTGCCACAATAGGCTTTGTCAGTCTGAGCCTCACTTAATACCACTTCACAGAAGAAAAAAAAAAATTGAGCATGAGTGTTGTTGGTTTTTTTTTTTTTCCTCACTCCTATTCAAAATTGCCAGGTAACAGCTTCAGAGAAAAACAAAATTTCCAGGAAAAAGCTTTTTCTCTCCGATGCATCAAACACAAAAATCATGGCACTGCACAAAGTTTGTCTGATGTACTTTTTATCAACTCCTCTGTCCTCACCTGAGAAAAAAAAGTCTGCCTTAAGTTTAAAAGGCTCTCTCAAGAACAAAGCCTTACTCCTTCTATTCTTTTCAAGTGAACTTCACTGCCCAGCTCTAACAGACACTGAGCACAGAAGAAAAACATCAAGAACCCTTGCACTTAGGCAACTCTGTTTTTCTGATGGATTTTGCTCATTTGCTTTCCTTGCTGCTCCATGAAAGCAGAGACACAAATAGCTCTTGATGCTCAAAGTTAAACACGGGAGTCTCAAACACCAGTCAGTTTTCACATGTGCTCTTTAATGAGATTTTTCCAACAAACCCAGGAAAATAAGTGATTGCACGGACCCGTTCATTAAGCACTGTACAATCAATGAAAATACAAATGTTATGATTTATCTGAGAGTTTGGCTATGTAGTTACTATACTAGAGCGGAAAAGAAAGACCCTCACCCTACCCTGAGCTCACGTGGGAAACTCCAGTGGAGAGAATCTCCAGAAGAGATCCTTCCCACTGGCAGTCAGCTCTTAAATGGGTCTAGGAGAGGTGGAGCCAGGCTCCTCTCTTTCCGGCAGCACCAGGTGAATTGCCTTCACCTGTGCTCCCATGGCTGATTCATGGCTCACCTCATGTGATCAATCAGAGGTTCAGGCCAAGATTCAGCAGTCGCCATACAAGTGTGGTGAGGTTAAATCCTCAGCTGGTGGGAGTTGGTGTGGCTCACTACAGACAGCAGAGCTCTGCTGAGCTACACCAGCTGGGAACCCAGCCCCGCAAGGAACAACTGAAGAGATTGCCTTAGGGGCAGTGCTGCTCCAGTCCCACTCTCTGCAGATTACAGAGGGGGTTGCTATGAGTCAGATGCCCATCCATTCATCTGGCATCTGCTTGCTATGGTTATCCTCTCCCAATGACTTGTCGAACTGCACCATAAGCATACACTGACTGACCAGCAACACAAGATACAGACAAAAAAAAAAAAATCACCAACTTCTGCATTGCACTCTGTCAAATTAAACTTATTTTGAAACAAAGGACGGCAGCAGCATCTTCTCACAATCAAGACTGCAGTGAATTAACCCCCAATGAGCTCAAAGGAAGGATTCACAGGGCTCCAGCCCTCAGCAGAGGCAGCTCTCTGCTACGTACCGGTCGCACACGATCCTTCGGAGACAAGCAGTATCTCGCTCTGTTGCTTGCAGGCAGCCTGCTTCAGGTAGCACTCATTCTGGTAGGTGTCACCGTTGGAGCCGCAGACGGGCACGTAGTCATTGTTGCACTGCAAGGACACAGAACAGCAGCGTTAGCCGTGCAGAGGGATGGGGCAGCCCGAGGTTGTGTGCCCCCCATCCCACAGCACGCAACCACCAGGAGAACGGTGGGAGGGAGGCACTGCCTCTGCCCTTTGCTAGAGAAGAGGGATGTGTAAAAGAAGTGAGGGAGAGAATCATGAGACAACCCCGGGCAAATACCCACAGAACTGCCTTCCCATGAAGATGAGCACATCCAGGCAGGGAACACCCAGCAAGGAAAGCAGCTCCCCAGCAGCAGCTCATGCGCTTCTATTGGACGGCAACAGGCAAATTGCAGCCAGCCATCCTCCTCCCTGCTACAGAGCCGGTCCTTTGCATGCAGAGAAGCGTCCGTCTGCGTGCACATAACTCTCTATTTAAGCACTTAGCCATAATGAGAACTGATGGGACAGAGGGCAATCATTTCCAAGAGATCTTGGACCAAAAGGCATCCATCCCTTTTGCTGTGGGCCAGATGCTGCACCCAGGATGCTGGGGGCTCCAGGTCCCCATACCACGGCTGTGCTCCTACCAGCCACGAGCCCTGCCCTGCTGCCTACACTTTCTGCCTTCCCCCTCCACCGCTGCAGGGCAGCTTTGCCCTCTTCTGCTCGTTTTAATAAAAATAATTCCATTTAGTAGAGAAAATTGGGCAACCTACAGGGTGCAGTTATCATCAGATAATCACACTCTGAGGCTTAAAGATTCTTGGATGTGCCCTGTACGTGGTAATTACGCCAGGGATATGATTATCTCATGATTACCGTACTCCTGGTATGCCTCATTGTTTAATTATAACAAATGAAATGATCACAATTATTATTTACAAATGCTCACCTCTGCTTAAACCCAAATGAAAATTAAAGAAGCCATACCCCCTATTTGGCTACCTCATGCCACAAAGCAGCTGAGGTGTGCTCACAGCTTAACGCACAGAACTGAGCCATGCAGACCAAATAGGCCTCGAGGTGAGCGACTACAGAAACCAGCATCACAAACAGTTGCTTAGATGGCATTCATTGCAGGCCTCCACACGCAGCAGCTGCCAACGAATTATTCATAGTTGGTCAGAGTGACATTTTGATTGGGCTAAAACAAATGACATTTTCCCCATGTGTTGTATTTTCTCAGATCTCAGAGCCGCGTCCCACCTGCAGCATCCTCTTCCTTCAGAGCCGGACACATAGCAGCAGTGAAAATCTTTCCCTTCCTCTCCTGATGAGGTGCTACCCACGCAGAAATTTTTAACAGCCCATTAAAACGTGTCACAGTCTATTGTCACAGTTGTGCTCCAAACCTGAGGAATGTTGCAAGCAAAAAACACCAACCTCATCCAGCAGCTCGACAACAAATGCTGGAAGGTGATCTGGAATACTTAACCAGGACAATTAACACAATCATGCAAATTTTCTAGAGCACGAAGAGCTGAGTCAGTCTTGTTTTTACACTCCCTCTCTCCTTGACACCCATGGGACTTCTTGGCAGAGCAATCAGTTCAGAATCCAACCCAAAGCATCTCAATAGGCTTTGATACACACAGAAACAATGCTGGACCCTACTCCCAAAAAACACAGTGGGAACTCTGCTGGTTTTGCCCAGAGCCAAAGACGATCTTTTACATGGACTTTTAGCTTCAAATCTGAAAGGCCAAGCAGCCCTACGCTAGCAATGTGAGATGTCAGGAATGAAATCCTGAGCCACGGGTCCCGGTTGCTTCTGGCACCTGGGCCAGAACTTCCAAAGCTCAGCAGATTTAGAAGGTATCTGAGAGACACCAGACAGAGGGCCCTGGGAAGGTGTCATTTTTTTCACAGAGGTTCTTCCATCTCTCCTGTGGCTCCTGACTCACCCAAATTTGGATGTGGACAGCAGAGATAGCTGGCCCATCACAATGACAACTGGTGATCCACCTTTTCCTTTCTCCAGCTGGAATGGTCCCTCATGCATTTCTTGATCACTGCCCATCTCTCCCATCACTCATTCCATACAGCTGCTGCTTGGATGGAGAACGCTGAAGTGGGGAGCTGCTGGTGGGAGTGCAACAGGTGAGAGCTTCCAGGTAAGTGCTGCCTTGTTCTGAGCTGGGCTGACTCTAAAGGCCATAGTGAAACCATTCTGGAAGTCACAACAAGACCGCTGAAGGGAAGGTCACAGCATCAGTGCTCAGGTAGCTGGCAAGCTTCTTCCTCACAATAGAGAACATCAGACCTTGACTTGGCTTCCTTGGCATGGCTTCCTCAGTCTAACAACATGTTTTTGGTATTGGTTTAAGACTCGACAGATCAAGCTCTGGACATGATCACAACTCTCCATCCCTAAAGGCCTGTTGGAACGCACACTGAAATCCATTTCGAATCTCAATAAACCCAGGAGCACAGTGCCATATCGTCAGATTCTCTCATATGTGGGTTCTTAAAATATACCTGTAAAGAAGGGAAATAAGTGCATCCAAGTCACCTGCATTCTCAGCATGAGCAGCCTTGTGCAGTCACAACCACAGCTGGAGACAAGACAATCCTGCAAGTGCTGGGATCAGTGCTGGAAGTACAAGGTTTGCTTTCTGAAGAGACCGGTGAACCCATGCACCTCCTCCTCCTTGTAGTGCTGTTGGAAGTTTGACCTCCTCCTTCTCTCAGGCTTCACTCCCCAAATAGTGGCTATGTTAGGAGCCACGTAACACGACACTATATTCCAGAAGTGAAATAGCAGGCAGCAAGCTGGCAGGTGAGCTACAGCTCCACCGCTACTGAAAGATGCGAGGGACTCAACGCACAGAAGGAGGGCTCCCCACACACCGAGCACTTAACGTTTGCCGTCTTGGTCATGAGGTGCAACCTTGATGGAAAAGCCTTCTGGACACGTTCACAAGATCTGAGCGGAAGAGATGATGGGCTCCTGATGGCTTTGGAAGACTAAGGTACAGTGCATCCAGCCACAGCCCTGATGGGCTTGCTGTGCAGGGTAGGAGGGAGGTGGCTGCCACCATGCTCAGACCCACGGCTGGGACAGCACGCCCCCTGGGCAGAGCGAGATGTGGTACTGTGCCCCACAGAACAGCTTACCATGGGGAGACAGGGAACAGGGCATGGCTTTGTGAAGGAGCAAGAGGGAGTCAAGCAACAGGAACCCCTGCCTCAGCATGTGCCTGCTGCTCTATGGAGAAAGAGCCCCACTTACACCTTCTACATCAGTCCGACTGGGTATGCCCTCTCAAACAATATAACAGGAATTTTATCAATCATGTCCAACAAATGGAGCTAATATTGAAAAACTAAAAACAAATAAAACACACACACACACACACACAAAAAAAAAAAAACAAAAACAAAAAAAACAACGCACCAAAGAAACAAACCAAACCAAAGCTGCAGCAGTTTCCCTCTGCAGCAGTCCCAGTTTGCCTCTGCAGCCCCCCAAGCCCCATGCTGGCCAGCCCAGGCCTTTCAGACAGTGAGGAGGCAGAATTAGCTTTCAGTCCCTGTCTGTTTTCTCAAGCTGCAGTGAAAGCCCCTGGCAAATTCTGGAGAAAACATAACAAGTAATTATAGTGATGAGGCATCTGCTATTGATTTGCTCACTATCACCCAGCGAGCTGTCACCAAAATGGGGCACTGAGTTCTGACGAAGGACCCCTCGCCCCGGGAAAGATCTTGTGAACGTGTCCAGAAGGCTTTTCCACCCAACCCTGGGGCTCTGCCCACCTCATCCAGCCACAGGCACCTCCCCGGGGACTCATCTCCCACCGGCACGCAGCTCCCTGCCCATCACCTGCCGCTGCGTGGGTAGGCACATCCCTCCCGCAGAGCCCAGCAGCGCATCTCACAGATATGGCCCTACAGCCATTACCCAGTTCCCTTCCATGTGTTCCCATGTCCCCTGCAGGACCGAGGGCAGGGCCAGGCAGCAGCACACCGGCCCCTGCAACAGGACCGGGCAGCGCCACGCCGCGTTACAGCTCATTCTTCGAAAGAGAACCCTGAAATCCCCGCACACGCTGAGCCGCAGCACAACGTCCCTCGGCACGCCGCTCACAGCGGGGCTCCGTCGCACGGTTTGTGATGCAGGCAAATCAGAGATGGAATTAAAAGCCACACGGCGAGTAGGGAACCACAGCACCTTAGCAAACACCTGCCGTGCTCTCATTACTGAGAATTCCTTTGCTGTAAAGGCAGGAGTTGATCGCCTGGGATTTTTCTCCAGAGATAGATTTAGCTCTAGGAACAGCACAGTGCTCACGGGGCTTCCAAGCAAACAGCCTATCAGAGCCCAGTAGTGCATCAGTCACTGCGGGCACACACCGTCCCGAGCCGTGTCAGTGGCCTGCCGGGCTGCAAGCGCTCCCGGCAGCACCACAAGTTGCACAAGTTGACGTTAAAACACCACAGACGACAGGGAATACAGGCAGAAACACACAGGCAGAGATACGCACAGCCCCTCGAACGCCCGGGCTCTATTCAGGTCAGTGCGGAAAGCACAGCTACTTGCAGGTCGGCCCAGCACATGAACCCTTCCTAAGAAAGCTGCCCGACCCTGAGGATGCCTGGGATGCTGCGGGGACAAGGAGCGGGGGCAGCTACCAGCGCCCGCTCCAGCTCCATTAACGCAAAGGGAGCTCCCGGTTTGGAACAGAGGGATTTTTCCCTAATCCGATCAGCTGGGCAGACACACGGTCAGAAGCGCCGTCACCACGCAGCCCTTCCTCAAAACATTGCATAAGCACATTACAGATCCATTTCTTTAACGAGATCAGAACTCCGAATACAATAAGCCGCGATCTGTATCAGAGCCCTCCCTAAATTCATCTCCAACTCCTCCTTCAAAGGGCAGAAGAACAGTCAGAAACGGACAGCGGTAGCTGCGGACCGAGGGGACGCGTGAAGCCGCAGCGTCTGCCTTCCCCAGCAGAGCTCCTGTCCCCGTGCCACCAGTTGGCTCCCCGGCTGCCCGCCGCACGCTGCCAGGCTGCGCCTCCAACTTCCCCGCGCCGCCGAGTGACAGGTGACAGCGGGAGCGCCGCGCCTCGTGCTCTCATTAACGAATTAGGGGAGGAAATATCAATCTCCTTACCTTGAACTGACAGACGCAAGTCACGCTGTCTCCGATCCTCAAACACTCCCCATCGAATTTACAGGTGTTGGTGTCGCAGAGAAAGAGATCGTTTTCTCTGTCATCGTAACCTCGAATGCAAAGCGGAGGAAGATGTCAGCATCGGGGAGCGACGGATGATTTCCTGCCGTCCTTCTCTGCCCTCGGTACCCCACTCCTTCGCCCGTTCCCCCCTCGGTCTCCCCATCAGCCCTCGTTTCCAGCGCACTTTTTCCCCCTATCTCCCTTTCCTCGCACCACTGCGAACACAAGTCCCGATTCCTGCAGCCGCGACCGAACGAGCCGCGCTCCGCAGCTCCGCAGCCCCGCGCCGTTCCCGGGAGGAGCCCAGCGGCTCTCGGCTCCCCGACCCCCGCGCAGCGGCCGGACGCGGCCGGGACACGTCGGGCGCAGCTCGGAGCTCCCGCCGGACTCGGGCAGCCCGCAGCTCTGCCCGACGCCACGGCCGCGCGCCCGGCCCCGCTGGCTCCCCGGCGCTCTCACCGGAGCAGTTCCAGCCGGTGGGCGTCTGGCAGTCGCTCAGGGAGGTAGGGAAGGCCGCCAGCTTGTCGGGGCGGGCGAGCAGCAGCAGCGCGGCGGGCAGCAGCAGCCAGCAGCAGCAGTCGCACAGCGTCCAGCCGCCGCACTGCCGGGGCGCGGAGGGCTCCCAGGGCACCATGACTCCCTCCCTCAACTCTCCGCCG